CAATAAACCCATAGAAACGTTCGAGTATCCAGCAGCAATTATGCTCGCACGAGAAAGCCTCGTCAGCTGGGTACTCGCTCCGATTTTTCTCCCGAACAATCTCGTTTCATCGAGCTGAACGTCCTCTCGTTCTGATTGCTCGTTATCGAGAGTCCCCGTTGGCTAGCAGGTAGGTAATGGCGCCACGTAGGTGAAACGTTTTCTATCCACGCATTTTCCGAAAGATAAATGCTCATAGCGAAGCGCACAGAAGCTATTCAACGATTCGTGGGGCAATTAAGTGACGTGACTTTGCTCGATTCACGACGTATGAAAACGTCATGACGCGATTAAGGACTCCCTTGTCACCTGTCGGAACGACAAGGTGCCAGCACCCCTGTTTCCTTCGGATCGGTTAGTTATTTCTTCGATTCCATTGGGAATAATTTAACTGCCTCGCGATTCGTTCGGAAGACTGCCTGAAGGAGTGTTGATGAAAGATTGTTTGCTTTCGAAGATTTTATTTATAAAATAGAAGAGGGTGTTAAGAGGATGCCCTATATTTTTGCTAATAAAATGTCAGTTGTTAATTAACTTAACACCGAAGAGTGATTAAAATGAATAGAAAAAGATGAAAGAGGGTGAAATGAGAAAAAGTGGCAGACAACTCCAAGTTCGTTCGAGGTGGGAACAAAAGCCTCCTCCTTTTCTTCTTCTTCTTCTTCTTCTTCTTCTACATCCGAGAAGGCTTTAGGCTCGCCACGTAGATGGATCACTCGTTCACCATTGTGACTTCTTGCACGTATGAAAAACCACAAACCACCAACGTTATTTCGCGGCTGCGAACACGAAGGGTCTCCCTTTCCACGAAGCCCAAACCGCGTAATACCATGGACCCGTTTTCGTCCCTTCTCCCAGTTACTTTGTCCCTTTGATCCAGCTACATATATATCTCTCTTTTTCTATGCCCATTACCAAGATACTGAATCAGTTTCTCGTTTGATCGACAGTCGTGGATCCGTTCGTGTATCATTATTGTGTCGCTGGCCGAGGAAACGTGGCCGGCAGAAAAGATTGCGTGGATTTTATCGGCCACGAAAGCTTCGGGAACTCGATAATGACCCGACGCCATTCGTGAAAGAAGAAACGAATGGCGTGTTTTAGGCGACGCAGGGGAATCATTTCTGACACTCTAATCTGGTAGAAAACCAGAATTCTTGTGAAAGGAAAGAGTTCTGATGCTTCTAATTTGTGTCCCTTAAATTAATTTCATTAAAATTATGAGAACACTGATGTGTTTTAATACCCATAGCATTGACAGGTAAAAAAATGATACTCCAGATTGATCGATGTCACAGAATCACCTTCAGTTTGAAATTTATTACGGTCTGCTCCATTTCGAAGGAAAACTGATTCATAGTCAAAGTCGAGTAATCGCAGAAAATCGCGGTCGATGGTTGACGTTAATCGTAGCCGACGATCGCGTGTTCTACGACAAACTATCGAATCATACGTCCGCCGGTTGTCGGTCCCGTGGACAAATTAAACATGACAAGGTGCTGGCGATACGTGGGCGAGATCACTCGTAGTTAGAGGCTCGCTTTATGTACTGTCAGCCACAATGGAGGCGAAACGATTCCTCGACCACACGCCCGATCCATTCAGCCAGTTCCTTTCTGAAAGGACGAGAAAACTTGTCCCGCCGGTCGACGCGTTCGCGGCTGCTTTGGAAACTAAACTCTTTCGACGAACAAGACTTTGTTTTTCCCGCTTTCAGGGAAACGGTTAACGATCGCGACGGGAGAAAATCAATTTTCTTCCTTCGATCCTGTAATTTTGAAGACGACGAATCGATAAATTGCTGGGTAATTTAGAAGGAAAATGATAGATTTCCAAAATTGTGGAAATAAAAATGTACAAAATGGAAATTTATGAAATAAAAATTTGTTGAGAGGACGATTCTATTCGATGGTAAACGTGGAACGCTTGGTAATGCGTGGGCGGTGCGCATAGCCGAGCTCGTGTGCCGTCAGAAACAATGAAAACGAGACGAAGCTCGCTCATTCATCGTCACCGGGCATCGGATTTGCTTTGTTGCCCATAAACAAGTCAATCGACGATTGTTAGCGTTCGTATTTTGAACGACAGCCGATATTTAACCGCGAAGACGAGCCGTGTTTCTCGACGTAGAACGAAGCTCGGGGATCGTCAGCCTTGCGTGTACGAGATTTCCGCTGGAAGACCCTACATGGTGCTTTCGACGATACAAGGATACACCAGGGGATGCTTCGATGAAGATCGTGATTCTTGGAAATCGTATAGAAGCCTTTCATGGTTTCGTTTCGAAGTCGCCGGCTTAGAAAAAGTTCAGAGGATGACGAGTTGAAAATTTCAATTAAATAAATATTATGTAACATACGCTAAAGTGTTAAAAGGAACATCGAAAGAATTACCATTTTATAATTTGACTTTTCATATTTAATAAAAAAAACTTAAATAAACACTTCACTATTAGTTGAGTCAGCATGACAATAAAACATTAATTACCGAGTCATTATCCACGACTCAACATAGACCATTAAAATTGCAAAATCGCCACAGGCTGCGTGTTAAACTTCGCTGTGATCTTTTATTCTAAATTTCATTCTTCCATCGCTGATAAGATACTCGATAATTTCAAGATCACTTATGGATCGCGAATTTCGATCCAAGTTCTGTCAGAACGATTCGAAGACTTCTATAAAACATCATTCCCCAAGGACGCGCGTCTCGATTAATCATCGAGCTGAGGAACGAGGCAGGAATCGAGAAATTGTGTCCACGATCAAATTAATCCCATCAGTTGTCGCCCGCAGCAAACCGTATGCCCATTACCTCGCCGTTATATTACAAATTCGTTTCGCGGGATTCGAGCTGTCACCGAACTCGCGGGGCACGGGTTAACGAAGACGCCGTGAAACGGTTCGAAAGTTAACGCGTTTCCCGTGAAAAAGCCACTGATTGCTGTGTCCATTGTACGGTAATATGGTCACAGTACCCTACGGGACGTGTACAAACAGTTTCCAATATTTTATCGTTATCTCGGGACGCGTCGGAATCCAAGGGAACGAGAATTCGCGAAACGGACGTTTCCGAAATGGAAACGGAAAGCATACTTTCGAACACTTTTTCACGTTCGCCCATTATTTCTTCATAAACGTCCCCTTTATCTCTGCCCATCGACGTGTTCGGCGTGGTTCGACGAAAACGAAGGAGCGTGATGATATTTTCGATGCTACCCGCCATAAAAAAAAGAATCCCCGAGAACCTTAAAAGGGTGCGCGGAGAGAGACAGAGGAACTAATGTCGAAGTGTGTAATTATGGTTCTCGATCTTGACAATTAGGAGCCGTTGGAAGCTGTCGGTAGCGAATAGGCTCCCACTTAGCTGCCGAAATTCCCAGCAGCCTTATCTCGGCGAATCGGGCTCGGTTATTCGTCGGGTTCTTCTAATTAAGAGGGGCCCCGCTAATTTTCTTTTTCCTTTTCTTTCTTTCCTCGACGGAATTGCCCCCTCGACAATTCGATCGCTTCTGTCGCGAAATCGGCCCTTTTTCCATGGTAATTTTTTCCTACCGTTGATTCGAGAGAATTCGATAACTTCACCTAAAGGGCTTCAGCTTGATTACAAATTAATTAATCATAAAAGTATGTATGTATCTGTTGATCACGTGAAATTGAAATTGTATGACACTACGAAACAGCGGTGTCCGATTATGACTATTTCTGGCGTGGATAATGAATGTTTTAATTAATTTCAGCAACGAAAATTTGTTTTTACGACCTCGATATCGAACAACGATCGAACGTTGTTCCCGTTCCGCGTTATGTAATTCGAAATGATCTTAAAACATAATTCGAGATCCCCTTATCGACGATCGTGTTTGTTTCTCGTACGTCAGCCGTGAACGGTGGACGGAATATGTGTATCGAGCGCGAATTCCAACAGCGGTGAGCAACGCCTACTTCTTTGCACATGTGTTGTTTCGTTGCTTTACGCAACTCGTCACCGCGAATGGCATCCTGTTACACCGTGCTTGATATAATTTTGTCCACTATCAACACGTACAGCTGTTGACTCATGAGAACCGACTCGCGAACTTAACACTTTAACGACCGATAGGCAGAGTATCAATAAATAACTTTCGATGCTAACGATCGCGGAGTGTCAAACGAATTAACACCTTCAATTGTTGTGTTCCTGACAAAAATTAGATTGAATGGAAAAAGAGTTACAGAGCCCTTTTCATACGAATGCTCATTTTTCTGTCAACTATCACATGTTCTCTTATCACAGATCATCAAAATGTTAAGAAATTTTTGTCTGATCTATGTATAAATTTTTTGCAGATTTTGAATACCTTAATAGTTTACAAGTACAATTTTATTCTAGAAAATCGTGAAACCTTTCAATCTCAAGTAGCAGAACATCATAACTCACTCTACTAACTGGGTTTGATAAGCGAGCCAATCGCTTCTTTATTTTTCAAACACTGCTATCGGGCATGTCAATACCACTTGGAACGATTTTATTTAATTATAGAAAATCGTACGATTCTCTCGAGGAAAATCATTAGTATCATAATTAGCAATGTTGTTTACAATTATTTAATATTAGAAAAACAGTGAATAATGTTGACTATCAATAATCAGACGAATATGATTCATTAGAGGGGTTGTCACTGACAAACGAGCTAATTGCCTTCACATTTCCACAAATTGACAGGGTCACCTTATCACTTTCCTCCTTAAACTTTCCCTAATTTCCCAAGAGGAAACAATTTTAGGAACAGGATAACGTATCAACAAAATTAATCAACTCCGACGGTTCGAAGATTATTTCAAAGAAATCTTTCACCCAATAAACAAATAAATGTTTCACTTATCTCACCTTTGATGCTCGATCTCAATAATAACTCCACGCTCGAGCGATCGTAACGTTTCACTTAATCAATTTCTTTAGGACATTATCAATCGACTCACCAGTGTAACACCAGGCTGGCCAGACAACAGGGCTCTCGGTGTCCAGCTCCCTCATTCTCTCAGCGACCCGCGGACATCTCCACTCCGTACGTCCCGACGTGGCGGTGAGTATGTCCAGTTTGATCTATGTCACAGGATAGTCCGAGGAGAATCAAGCATCGACGTCGACGACGAGAAACAACCCTCGCACAGTCTTTCTTACACAGCCCTTGTTCGTTCGCGCGGGATCTTAAGTAACCCCTTCGAGAACCACCTGTTGAACGTCAAATCTGATCCACGCGCGAACGCACGCGTCCAGCTAGGATGATCATATAGAAACGGGCGAATAATAATTCGCTAGGACAATGCGAATCGACGGGTTTCGCGTTCGTCGTGCTTCTCTTCTGTCCGAGTCGCACGTCCAGCAACGATTCCAACGGACAGATAAGCACAGATAAGGAACCGTCCGCGGTGATAAGGCACGGGTTAACCGTCATCGACTCCGCTACACCTCTGGCCTTGCCACTTTCTCGACCGTGTGCTCGGCCACACAGTGACAATCTCTCACTTTCGCGTCACACGAAAATCGCGGACACTAAAATGTCACGGAAATGTCAATGAGCAAGTCGCGAATCGGTTGACACCTTCACCGTGTCTCCCCCTTTCCGAACTGCGTACCGGGGACCAGTCTCTTGTTCAAACGTCGCACTGATCCCCCCTGACGATCTCACTGACACTCGCGATCTATCACCTACGTGCGATCCTTGAACGAGCCTCGTTCCCCGATCGACCGAAGATCGTAAACACCGCGGGGAAGCTCGTCGACGGTTTTTCCGATAACGACGGCCAGTCGTCGTTGAATGCCGTGCGAGTTTTTCACCGATTCGATTGTTTACACTACGCGAAGGTACGTGTTTACTGGGCAAGGACGCAGAGATTCGTGGGTCAGCCGGGTAGCAACGAAATCGTTATGGAATACGCGGTCGATCGTTGCCTCCGCGGTTCGGGAGGATCGTTGACGTAGCGCAGGATGACACGACACTACAACACGGCACTGCTGCGTGAGGCGACGTCGAAGGAGACAGACGGAGACAGAGGGAGAAGGACGAAGCCGGGTAGGGGGTGAAAAGATGAGACAGAGAAAGGTGAAGAGAGAGAGAGTAAGAGAGAATAGTGACAGGGGGAAGGAGAAGGAAGAAGAAAAAAAGAAAGAGAAAGAAAGAGGAAGAGAGAGAGGGAAGAACCTGACCACCGGACACACTTGGCTTGGTAGGCACGACACACAGGTAAGCGGAGTGGCACTTAGGTTGGTGCACCTGCCGCGAGAGTCCGCGTCGTAATGGGAGCGGGGCAACGGGCGGCAGGTAGGCAGGCCCACCGCTCGTCAACCTACGGGGAAGGGGAATCAGTCACATGGCGAGGTGCCCCGCACTACCTGCGAACAAGGAGGTGGTAGCTGAAACCACTGGTGGTGGATAAAGGTCCATGGTGGTGGTGGCCAACAGTACGACGGTGGTGGTGGCCGACAGAAAGGAGTAGGAATCGAACAGGACCTCAAGAACGGAGCAGACAGTGTCGGAGTAACCTGTCGCCGACCTCTTTCCGCCTGGTCCCTCGCAATGGTGCTGATATTTTCTTTATGGGTCTCAGCTAGATGTATACCCTCCAGGGGGGCGAATGATTCCGAATTGGAGTATATTGAGAAAAATTCACCACACAAAGAATTAAAATGATTTTGTCCGAATAAATCACTCGCAGTTTAATTGGACGATAAAATAAAAATGTACGGAAGAAATAGAAATATAGATCGCCGAAAGAGGAAAGTGAGTCGTTCATTTAGATTTCATTGGTGTTCAGACAAAAGGCGCACGTGGTACTTTCGTGTTTCCAGTGCCGACTATGGTTTCCTACAAAGGTCGTTGCCGAGTTCCATATTTGGATCCCCCCCAAGGAACAGAAGGGTATTGAATTCCAGGCGTTTCCACCGATCCACGCTACAACCCGATGGCAGATTGTCTCCTGACTCGTCGTCCAGGAACGTCGTATCCTGTCTAACTACGTCTTTCTTTACGTCTCTAGCCGAGCGGAGTTACGTTTCGTCTAGCTGGACAGTGTATCGATAAAACGAGACAAGAATGCCTTGTTCCTGCGGAGCGCAAAGTATATGGATGCCCTTTTCGAACAATTGCTTGTAACTCCATATAAAAAGGATCAATGATTCAGCTACTTTCGTAAATTAAAAGACACTTGGACGTCGTTTGAATGGTTCTTCGGAAATTCTGCTCGATATACAGGCATAGAATTATTCCCAGCCGAAAGGGTTAATACCAGTTGTAACCCCGCGGTCCCACGGCTTGGCTAGCGTATGTCGCAACATCGTTATCGCAACAGAATATCGCTATACAGCAATGTCCTGGAAGTGTTGCCCTAGGCGTTTCAGCCTGGCGACCAGGCCAGAACGGAGAGAGTGGAACGAGGCTGCAACCGTGCACTACGGTAGGGTACCGGCACGCTGAAGCGGATGAGAGCTTGTTAGGTTAACCATCACATTGTTTCACCGAGGGCGTGGTGGCGTGTTGTTCGCAACGTAGTGCGTGGAGAAGCCTCTTCTCCTTCGCGTTCGACTATCTTCTCCGAACGGAGCGAAGATCGGCACGGTGCGCCCGTACCATCGAGGGCGATATATTGCAACCGATATATATCACTTGCCGGCCACTCCACTTCCATACGTCCGTTCCAGCGTACATATGTACGCGTGGATCGCCTGCAGGCTGGCTTCAAGGTCCTCGTTTAGATATCCGTTCGCTTCGAGATTATTCGAGACAACGAGGACGAGTCGCCAGCTCGATACGTCCAACCCCGTAGCATCCTATCTGGCCTCGATCGGTTAGCTTCCGGAGCTAACGATTACCACCTCGGCCATTTTCTTTCGCGCTCTTCCATGATTAAACGGTCCATCGACCCTGCCCTCTCAGTCGCCTCTCTTGGGCGACAGATTAGCGTCAGTCGAGCCTGGCTGTCGCTGCTTACGTTCATCGGAACTCGATACGCGATTAGAAATGGTCAACCTGGGACTTATGGTGCGCGATTAGGATTGGGTATGGTTGATGAAGAATCGAGTAATATCTAAGGTACTTAAAATACCTAAGTCCCTATTTCATTTGAATACATCCTGAATAAGCCGACACTTTCGAAACAGTTACTTGAAGTGAAAAACGCTTGCAGCGATGAAACCTTCTCTACCCGATCTATATTTCAAGAAACATCCAAGCAGGACGAGCAGTTGGCAAACGGAAGAGAGGATCGCCTCGGAATCGACACGTTAAAGCGTCCTCGGTGAAGTGGAAGCCACGGCTAGCCATAGCTCATCTTTGAGGCTGAAGTAACCAGTGGCGTTCATGAATACGTGTTCATTATTTATGAGCAACGCCTCCCCGCATCAACTGGACCAGCCTCCCTATCCTACCGGTAGGCACGAAGAGAGCCAACCGGATAACGTATTACGTCTTCATATTTTTTCCCCTGATGCACGGCCGGTAATTAAAGGTGCCCCGCCAAGGACTCGGATGATTTATCGGCGGTGCCGGTTCGGTCTGATAAGATGGGATCAGCTGATAACGAGCTGCCTTTTGTACATCGAGGCCAGAACCCGTGATCGAACTCGACTCTCTCCTCTCTTTTCTCCTCCACTGACAGGGACCGGTGTTATTCGTGCTCCGCCGCCGAACTGAACGACTCTTCAACGTTCAACGGCCTGTTTATGCTGACTTCGTTTAAACTCTTCGCGTCACCGTTCGATGGGATGTCATAAATTTGGAATAAATTTCAGTATCAATTTGTGCACCGTTACATTGTGAAAAATCGTTGGCAGAAATTGCAAAGCTAAGGTCTCTTTGTTGCAACATCATTTTCAAAACTAACCTTCTCATCTTATCAGAATAGATTCATCTTCACCCATTGGTCCCGTTGACTTAAAGAAATTTACGTCGACAAAACAGCGTTCTCGAGGTGGCGACCAGATACCCCGTGATGATTTCGAAGATTTAATTGAGACATTCAGCAGGTACTAAAAAAAACACTCCACCCCTTCAACCGTTGAGATGCCCTACCCTTCAACTCTTTGGCGCCACGGAACGTCCAAAGTATTCAGTATGTTCCTGTTCGTGGCGAGAGGACGTTCCATCGGATTTTTCAGGTCGTTTCGAAGGACGTTTTATTGGCGGTCTGATTTACGAGGAGCCACGTTGGCCGCGTAATTTGTTGCGCCGTATTTAATTTGCTTTAAAAGCTGACCAACGGAGAATCGGAAGGGGACAAACTCGGGCGAATGGACTCTCGTTGGCGCGTAAGGCGTAAAAACGATAACGGGCCAGCTGTTTTACGGATTTTTTATTATGACGTACGTGGTAAACACGCGACGCACCAGGCTCTTAACGAACCATGAAGGGAGCAGGTTATCGACGTACGCGATAGGGCTGCTCGCTCTGATTTGCTCGTTTGTGATAGCAAACGGTGATTCGATTCCATCCAAAGGGGATAGGCTTTTCATTACTTAATTATTTAGTACTTAACAAATTTTTAAATTAGTAAAAAAATCTACGTGAATTCAACAAATGTCAAGGAAAATTCATTAAGAAGAGGAAGGCGAGACTCGAAGAACCGCGTTTCTCCGTTCAAGAGCGTAAAGTTCCGATGAAAAAGTTTCATGGCCTTTAAACCAAACCTCGCAGAACCACGCGAGTTTTTTTCACCGGTACAGAGAGAAACGAGGCTGCTTTCGTAACGTACGGCTAATTTCGATGCAATTTACGCGAATGTTCTGCTTGAGCGTTCAGCACGCAGGAAGAGACCGGGGCGAGTAATGTTTGCGGATTTTAGTTAATTAAATACCTCGTTAGACGGTAGTGAGTGCTAAACATAAACATTACTGAAAAGCAGCTGTTAAAATAATCTGAAAATATGTATGTTCATTTCTTTTAATCTTCCATGTGCATTAAAGCAATTTTAAAAAATAGTAACTAATAAAAGAATTCAAAAGGAACTTTTGGACGTTTTACTTTATACATTATTTATACAATGTAACACTTGAAGAAGAAACATTCGATTCCAACGAAAATCAAAGAACCGGAAGCTGAGCGGAAGCGTTGGGCGCGCGAGAGTCGGGGGCGAAGTTTCTTTCCGTTCGAAATCCCGACAGAGCCGTGTTCGCGCCGATTAACATCGCGCCGCGTGCGAAACGATAAATAGGATGATAAATGCGAACACGCACGATTATAGCAGCGGAGGTAGCAGCGTCAGATGCCGATGAATCAGCGTAGGTAAAGGTCAGAGGGATAAACGTGCACTTGAAAGGTCAAGGAAACGGTCAGCCATCCAATAGGATTCGAGTAAAAATAGATACGTGATTCGCGTTTTAATTATCCACCCTTTGAAAAGAAAAAAAGAAAATATTCGCGAGCCTTGTACGTCGCTTACGCAACCGTGCCCGTTTCAGGAACTCGTTAATTATATTGCTCTTGACCGGTGTTTGTAGAGCAGTCGAAGTGTAATTGAAACGGACAGGCCACGCGCCTGATCCATTTAGAATATCTGCTGAATAATTTCCTGTATTTCGGATTTTTAGGTTCGGTATATAACCAAAATTTACTAGCAGAAACCGATTAAAGTTGGTTTTAGAGATGGATGTCTTACCGTTTTCGAGATAACGTGGTAAGGTTAGGTTCCATATATGCGCAGTATCGAGTAGCGCATACGCAGTATTTAATAGCGCATGCGCAGTATTTAATAGCGCATGCGCAGTATCGAATAGCGCATGCGTAGTCCCAAAATTGTACAAAAGTTTCTTACCACGATATCTCAAAAACGGTAAAACATCTAGCTCTGAAACCAACTTTAATCGGTTTCTTGTAGTGAATTTAGGTAATATACCGAACCTGAGCCATTCGGAAACTTATCCGATCTTTCGAATAAACGAAGAATTATCGAGCATGGTTGCACGTTTATTGACGATCCAAACCAAAGAGTGGTATGGCAGGGAATTAATGAGCGTCTAAGTGTATTGGGGTCCACGTGATTTATCAGTTGCGTTAAAATAATTTGATTGCTTGAAAACAAATCAAATAACAAGTTAACGCGTTTTACCTTCGAACGGGGACATCGACACCAAGGAAAGACTGGAAAACAACGTACTACTTCAGGAAAGCAATTAAAGCTTCCTATCAGTAACAAATTAATCTATTCTCCTTGGGGAAAGGTGGACACGGACGCAAACAAGAACTCCCTCAGCTATTCCAATCAACGCATGCAATCAAGCAACCATTATTCCTCACGGAACATCATCGAACAGCGTGCCACTTGTCATCGATCCGGCGTTACTGTATAAAACCGATATTTTACGAGCAATAATTTACAAAAGAGCCGGCCGCGCCACGCACGAAAGGTGTCTTCGAAAAACGAAACGGATCATCGACCAATTTATTATAGGCTGGCGTTGACGTTTTTACCAATAAACAAGAAACTCTTAATTAACCGTGAACCGTTTGTGAACACATCCCGAAGGTGTCACCGAACGTCTTTCTATACTTAATTTATATAATTGCGCGTTTTACGGCACGCACTTTATTAACATTTCTACGAATTGGTCTGTCGGTATTTTCCCTCTTCCTTCTTTTTTTTCTAATTTAACACAATTTCGACAGTCGAAAAGGCGCATGTAAAGGAGAAAACATCGTAAATTCATCATCGAGACGTTAAGTACGAATGTATCGTTGGAAGCACAGTAATAATTAAGGGAAACGACCTGGGGAATATCAAATATTTTTATTGAATGTGAATCCACGTGCTACTGAGAGCTTCTGAAAAGAGGACGTTCAGCTGAATAAAAATTAAACATATCTTACCAAATTTTATAACGTCTACTTGGCAAATGTAAATAATTTGCGTTAAATAAAGAAAATTAAACTTTTCTATGACTTAAATATCTTTTTTAACCTTTCATTGCATCCCGAACCACGTTCACCAACCTCGACCCATAATTTGTCTGCAGCCTTTGAATTCGTACCACTGGCTGGTCCGATAACGAGCCTTTCTGATTAAAGTTTATTACCAGACCGCTGTATCAGATAAGACTTCCGTGTTTATCGTTTGAGATGACGCGAGTATCGTACGAGAAGCGGTACCTTCGTCCTAGACCTCGAATGAAGATTTTATAGGCTACCTTGAGCACCGTCTCGTCCCTCGAGACGCATCATCCCTTTCGACGATGAAACTTCTTCGCCCTCGTTTTTACGGTGAATGCTTCATTCGAGTATTGAATTGTTTACGGCTTCTAAATAAGTGACCCTCTGATTCCCAAACAATTTGCCCGGACCACGAATTGCTCGTAAATAAAGATAATCTATTCTACCCGGAAGATAAAAATCGCTTGCTCGATGGACGAACTTTGGATGAAAAGAGAGAAAGATTTGGTCGAAGAAGGAGGCGAGGAGAGGCGTGTATCGTGTGTTCCCCAACGGGTGAACGATCCTTCAGTTATTCATTTTTACACCGTTCATTGGTCGGACTTTACGAGGCAAAAATGGTGAAATTGCACTTTGTGCAACCTGCGTGCCCTCTCCTTATTTCCCTTATTCTTATACCCGACTTCTCGGTGCTCCGGTGAACCCGATCATGGGAAAGTTCGGGATTTCTCTCACGGCTTTCAGAAAGATTAGATTAAATTGGTAGCCAACCCCTCGACTAATCTTTCAATCTAATACCTCGACTTCCTCTTTAGAATTACTAGTTATAATTCCGACGTTACTCAGAAGCTTCATTCTTGTCGGACCCCACCGGTGATAGTCATCTGGTTAAGTAAGTTCGCGTAAAGCGTTCGAGAGGAAATACAATCAAGGAAACGAGATAGAGGCGGAACGGTATAAAACGTGCGAAATGTAACATATCGAGGCTGGCCGGTCTGATCGGTGATCAATAATGGCAGCGAAGCAGCAACGCAACGCTGAGGAAGAAGCAGAAGAGTAACCAGAAGGTTCCAGTAGAGGAAGAAGAGGTGAAAGAAGAAGTAGGAGAAGAGGAACGATGAAGAAGAGCAACAAAAGGTGCAGCCTCGGGTGCCGGGCGGGGCTCAGATGTTTATCCCGGTCGACCTCTTCCCCTAGCTCTCTTCAGGCCCCTCTTCGTGGTCTCTAACGTGCCCCCTTCACCTCGCTTCTTGCGGAGAAGCGCGCCCTCGGCGATCCACAGCTATAGAACGTTGCATCTACGTTATATGCGTGCTTTTGTGGCTCGGATGCGCTCCCAGTGGCGTCGCAACCGTCGATCTTTCATTTTCCATGATAAACTGATCAAGTTTGAAAGAAAAATTTTCCTTTTTGCCGTTGGACACTTGCAAATTAGAAATAACACCTCATAACTCTAGACAGCTTCAGTCGCGGGTGACAAAACGATAACGACCAGCATAACATCGATCAATTATGCAAAAGAATGCAGATAGCATTGCGAAGTGGTTCGACGTAATGCGAGGTTGTTCGCTTTGATAGCGATATTCGCTGATAATAGAGGGAAGCGTAAAGGAAGCGAGGAGGACGAGGTCGTCGGCACGTGACGAGCCGTTGGACGCTCGGTACCGGTAAAAAAGCAACGTTAATCAGACACTTCGCATCGCCTCTATTCAGCTCCCGGTGAGCTGGAGTGATCTAGCTCGCAGCAGGTTCTTCGGGGCAAAAAATCGATGAATGAACCTTCCCTGGGGCGGAGGCTCGCGTTTCTCTTCTTGCTCGACCAAATTCTCCTTGCGAGCCGATCTTTCGTTGCTCGAAGAATCCGCGAATTGTTCCGCGTGATTAACTGCGTTCGTCGGAGATCGAGCAACAATTAATGGATACCTCTACTTTGCGACCCGATCAACGTTTTATTGGGATGAAACGTTGATCGCCGCCCGGAGCTATTGAACGGTTAATTTCGATAAGTTTGCTGTGGGAAATATTTGATGGAAAACAATGAAGAAATGCAAAATGGTTTTTTTAACGGGACCAATCGGGAGACGTATTCTAAAAGATACAAAAGGTTTCGTTCCGATTGGTCCATCCGTCTCGGAGTAATCGGCGAACATACATTAGTGGAATTAATTCTGGACACTTAAATTTTTACTTAAATTTCGCGTTTATTCAAATTATTTAATATATGATCATTTATATTTTATATTCTAATCATTGTTTTCTAATTTTAAAGGGACCATTTATAGCCATACTTTTAATATACAATAAAAATTACAATTTCAACACATCAAAGGAGGTAGAAAAAAATTAATATATCCTTTCATCCTGTGATTGGCTATTTCACATCAATAACAATACAGTTTAGATTTTTTTTAATTAGAATTTTAAAAGATTTACCAACCACATTATGTGAAAATATTAAGTGTAAACATTATAGATTACAATAAAAATATTACGGTTCAATTTAGCATAGCAGAATATATAATACATTTTCTGCACAAAATAAAAAATATTTTTATTCAAAGTGTCCAGAATTAATTCCACCAATTGAATAACCTCCTCCTTTTTAGAAGTTTGTTAAAAAATGACATCACCGATGGTTCTGAATTGAAATCAAAATCAGAATTTGGTAAATGAACCTATCCGAGCGTACATATATGCCTTTCATATTAATGGACCAACTCGAACGTATATATACGTCTTTCGCATCGAAAAGGTCAAACGGAGCAAAGTCGAAGGCAGAACCCCAATGGTGAAACAAAGGGTTCCTGAATCCCCTAGGGATCGTTAGCAACGAGCACGTATCCCGCTGATGACGCACTTCCGGCCGAGTGAACCCCCACGGTGGCCCTGTGATAATTCCGGGGGATCGAGAAACAGCTCGAGATCCATCCACCGTGACTCCGTGGCCCCGTGACGACCCCGAAGAGAAAATGTTTGCTCTTGTTGCGGTGCGCGCACCGGGGAGAGCAGAGAGGTACGGGCCG